TGTGCTTGCTCTCCAAGTCCTTGGTTTTCCCTCTTTTGTACCGTAATGGGCAGGTAGAAGATGTGTGTTTTCCAAAAGCCCGCTTGGCGTTTTTGGGCATGAGAGAAAGAAACTGAAGCAATTTCAGACATATTACAGGTTTTAGGAACATTTCAAAGTCAGCACAAATAAGAGAATGGTATTTGCAGATGAAAATGTGAACAGAGCCTTTCTAGGCTTGCTTTAGTGGGGTTCAGTCTCTCTACTAAAAGGACAACGTATTTATGCTGTACCTTGCCCCCTCCACCCAAAATCAAATTGTGCAGGAGGTAAAATCCCAACCTGTAAGCCCATGTTGTCTGCTCCTTTCGCTCCCAGCCAGCTAAAAGAACAGGTCAGCAATTTATTCCCACTTGCAAAGCAGAAATGGCAATCGCATCTGGTTTAAAGATACAGAGGTGAGGTCCTTTCTCTGACTACTGTTGCCCACTGGTATTTCTATTAGATGTAATGCGATCTGCAGGTGGCAAATAAGGCCGAATGCTACGCAACAAAAATAAATTGCTACTCATTAAAAATATATTTCAACTGGTAATGTATTTTACACCTGTGCCTTTCAGCCTCGCAGTGCTTGTTCCCCCGGGTGCCCACCTGTGATATTGTCCACGTGAAAAGAGCTTCCTCAGTGAATTAGTAATTGGCTCTTAAATATTGTCTGTCTTGACTTTCCTGTCATCTCCTTTCAGTTTGGCGTGCCGTTAAAGGGCTCTCACTATGAGACTGCTTCACCAGACAGCAGGGCTGGGCTCTGTACAGCCCCCGTGTATTCTTGCTCCTCAGCGAGTCTGCTTTGCGATCGTTTCAGAGCAAGCTGAATCACGGCGCACTCCGGTTCATTTGCCATCTCGTAGGTCCCAGTCCAGCAAGGCCCTTGGATGCAGTTAAAAACTGGCTGTAATTAGTGTGTAGGACGTGCCCACAAACCGCTGAGGAGGCGCTGAAAGAAAAGCCGGTATTAAAATGTTTTCTGTCGGAGTAGCCGCGTTCTGCCATAAGGATAGAGGAAAGGCAAGGGTTTCAGGAGAGCTGAAAGTTTTCATCATTGACACCCACACCTTTTAATCACTAAGTGCCTGTCGGTTTCCCCCCCTCCCAGGGATGTTAATTGGTCTTACAAATGATGTTAGCCCTCACCGTACGCTTTGCTAGCGTAGGAAAAGGGCCTGAGCTCTGGAGAGCTCATTTGCAGCACCACCTTATGAAAAAATGAAGGCAGCCTCCTGGTATGTGGGTAATTATCATAAATGTGAGGTCTCTCTCGGAAGGCTTATCCCTATCGGTAGCTTTTCTTTCATAAGCAGCATTACTCAGCAGCAGACTGAGATCACAGGTCGGACTAACCCCGCACGGACTAACCCCGCAGTACGGCAGCGGAGGGCAGCCGCTCATCGCGATTCCTCCAAGAGAAGAGGGGCACGGAGCGGTGATGTGTTGGGCAGGTCTCTTGGTTCCACCCTAGTGCTCTAACTGGAGAGGAATGATCCTTCGGGTGTGCACTATTTCAAGGAGACAGAATTAGCTTAATGTGAGGAATGTAATTCTTTCCGGTAATGTTAACAAAATAGGGAAATGCCGACAAATTCTCCTCCAACCCGGCAAGTCTGCTTGGCTCTCGCTGGTGTCGGTAGAAGCAGGTCTTCTCTCTTGGATGAACATTGACCCTGTCCCACAGTGCGTGCCAATATTACCCCCAAAAATGGGCAAGTCCTGGTATTTTGATGTCCCTGGTAAGGTCTTATTTGGAATCAAAGCCAGCTTTAGGAAACGTGTTTCAGTGTATGAAGTAGCATAAGTAGGAGTGAATCGTTGGCAGGTGGCGTTTGTTTTTTTTCTTACAACTTAGAAGTTCACAAACGGAACTAGACCCCAACATAGGCAGCGTTTTCTCCGATATCGTGTGGGAACTGTGCACAGAATCATTTGTTTTCTTTGAAGATAAAGGTGGAAGGCCTTCATCGTTGCACAATCCTGCCTTTTAAGCAGATGATTTTAGTAGCTTTTGAAGCACGTGCTTCAAACCCCAAGAAAACCCAGTGCTCAGATCAGTCCGGTAAACGGGCCGAGCTCTTACCCAGCCTGACACTGGTCGTGTACAAGCAAACTAAGCGGGAGGTCAATGTAGTTTGTGCCTCTTCTGAAATCCTTGCACGCTCCCTCGCCTGTATAGAAGGGCATTAATACCCGTGGGAATCGAATCCACAGTGTTTACCAATGGCAGTCAAAGGAAAGCTGTGTTTGTATTTTTCCAGCGTTTCTAAGTGATAGCACAGGACCTGATTTTGGACTGGGGGAAGTCAGTGCAAATTTTTAGTTGATGATCGCTGGATGGGAGAAGACACTTACTGGAACGCTCTGGCAGGGCTGTGCGTTACAAGGCAACCGGTGATGGCAATAGCATCGTACAAATGTTCCATGTAGTTAAGAGGATTGATAAATGTCTGGATAAATTGGTTATTCACAGTGGTTTGTTGGTCTCTCTAATCTGGTTTGAAGTAGGGACAGGTTCGTGTTAGTCTTTCCCAGGATGAGATGTGTACGCTCCCGAAGAAAGTGCCCCCGTGTTCAGCATAGCCAAGTGCAGATCCTTCTAAATGTTCTGCTTCTGTCTATAGGAAGCAGTAGATGCAAATGGGTTTGGAATATCGGAGCATTGGCGTCCCATGGTATTTGTCTACCGTGAAAACGTATCACCGGAGATGGAAGGGAGAAAGATAAGCAGGGAAATGTAGGATCCTATTCTGTTCCACGTGACTGTACCCTGACCTTTATCTACCGCCTCAGCCTCTCCCCCATGGGGAGATTTAGGTTTATACAAATATACAATAAATAAATAACTCTGTGTAGCTATATGGAGAGATATGTATTTATCCCCTATAAATACTTCGCCTCCCTTCTCTAGCCTCTGACCTGAAAGGAGGGAAAGGAACTCAGCGTTGCTAGATGATCGTTGTAGGTCCCTTCCGGACGAACTATTCTGTTCTGTTCTAATTTGCTCCAAATTGTCGTAATTGTAAGTCAGTTCACCCCCATTGTAAATAGGTTCAGTTGTTAGGCCCAAAAGCTGTTTGTAAGCATACCTTTCAAACCCCATCTCCAATTAAAGCTTTTTCACCTTTCGCCACATAATAAGTTCCTGAAGACTCGCAGATGGATGTAAAGCACAAAATCTGTGCCCAGCAGGATTTGCTGTGTTAGGGACAAGTCAGCAGAGCATTGAAGAGACTTGGGAGAAGATTTTCCTGTTGGTGGATTTTATGGTATGTTTAATCTCTCTTTCAGTTAGTTTTCGGTCAGGAGCTTTATCATCTGGGGAGGAAAAGAGTGCAAATTGGTACATGTCTTCTCAGGGGCAAAAAGGTGTGACACGATTAAACAGTTTAGGATCGCTTAAGAAAATGCAAGCTGATTCATAGTCTAATGAGTGAATGCTTATAGGTGGTTAGAAATGAATCACTGGAGAGGAGGGAACGGTGTTGACAGATGAGAAGGATCAAAGGCCGTTCGTTCTGAGGAGGCGGCCTCACAAGCGTACCTTTAACACAGAACATTGTCGGTTAGGTCCTCTGGTTGCTCTCTTAGAGAGGCTGTCCTCCGGGTGCCTCCATGCCACTGCACCGCTCCCCCCGCTTCCCGGTGCGGTGTGGTGGGGGAGAGAATCGTAACAGTAAAAGTGAGAAAACCCATGGGTTCAGATAAGGGCAGTTTAATGGGTGACGCAAAAGCCCCGCGTGCAAGCAAAGCAAAGCAAAACAAGGAATTCATTCCCTCCCTCCCAGGGCAGGCGGGTGCTCAGCCGTCCCCAGGACAGCCGGGCTCCATCACGCCTAACGGTGACTTGGGAAGGCAAACGCCATCGCCCCGAATGTCCCCCCCTTCCCCCTCCTTCCCCCAGCTCTCTACCCTGAGCACGACGTGGAATTTGGTGTGGAATGTCCCTGGGGTCAGTGGGGGTCAGCCGCCCCGGCCGTGTCCCCTCCCAGCTCCTTGTGCCCCCCAGCCCCTCGCTGGTGGGGTGGGGTGAGAGGCAGAAACGGCCTTGGCTCTGTGCGAGCCCCGCTCAGCGGGAACGAACCCATCCCGGGGTTATCAACACCGTTTCCAGCACAGACCCAAACCGTGGCCCCGTGCCAGCTACTGTGGAGAACGTGGACTCTACCCCTGCCCAAACCAGCACAAGGCGCGACAGCTGGATAGATAATTTGTTCTGCTTGGAGCGGCCCGGCTTTAGTCAGCTTTATTTATAGGCACAGACTTTGTTTTGTTGTTTGTTTGCTTGTATTTAAAATGCTAGGTTTTTGCTCTGGAGCTCACTGGGTGTGAGGAACGAAACAGCACGGGGGTTGTCTGCAAGAGAGAGGGCAGGGCTGGCAAAGTCTGCTCTGTTCTCTGGTCATAGCGCAGGAGAGAGGGGTGTATGGGCACCAGTTTCCAGTCCACCGACTTTCTGAAAAGCGAAAAATCTGCTGTGAATATTAAGTTGAAAAAGTTCTGCTTTGGCTGTAGAGGTGCAACCCAGATACCATAAACTTCTCGCCCTTTCTACTTTGGTCCAGTAATTAGGGCATGGACAGCAGCGTTGTAGAATGGCCAAACAAAACCACCATTGCTTAAAAATAGGTGTCCAGCAGCATTAGACTGCTTTAGGATGTGTGTATGGGGCTGGCAGATACGGCCGGGGACCTGGGGGAAAACCCTTCGGAAGTGGCAGCCGGAGACGTGGGAAGTGCCTGAGGGCGTGTTGTGTGACACTGCATTTACGTTTGGTTTTGCTGCCATGCTGCCAAGCTTGTGTTAAGAATATGCTGTAATATGCCGTAATTTAAGTGCCTTAACTCCTAACAGAAGCGTGGCCCAGGTGAAGTTGACAATGTTTATGTACTCTCTAAATATGTTTTTATACAGAAGGTTGCACACTATGTATGTTTCTATTCTTTATTTGTGGCCGCCTTTGTGTTTTCCAGACCATAATCTTCATTCGTGACCGCAATTCTCGTCGCCAGGAGGTGTCTGCATACATTGACTACGCACACAGACTGGCAACAGATGATTTTGAAGCCTACTTCAGCGGGAAGAAAAGACTTTTCCCTCGGAACACTGATTTGAGGTATTTATCTTTACTTTCTTTTTATTTATCTGCACTTAGGCAATGTATAGAGGAAGGTTTAAATGCTTTTGAGAAGGAACATAGCTTATGAAAGTGTTTTTTCACTGAAAGGCAAACACCATGGATCAGAATTAGTTGTGGAGAAGAGCTTTAAGAAGGGTCCCTGTCAGATTTATTTAGTCCAGAGCATAAAACTGAGCTGGGACATGATAACCATCGCCTGTCTCTGCATCTCTCGTTACCCTGAGGAGTCTGTAAATACCGACGTACTTTGGTCAGTAAGAGCGCGCTTCTGGAGATGCCGCAGGTCAGGTAGCTGCAGGCAGCAGTGCCAGGACATCTCTAGCTTTGCCTGCTCTCCACTGAGTCCATGGGAGGACGCTTTGCTTCGGAAGCGGGCTGCCTGCAGAGGTCTTCTGGTGGCAAATAAGGTGGTGCGTACCTGTGACTAACAAGAAACATCATCAATGAGCTTTTCCAACGGAAGAATGTGCTTTCCTTAAAATAAATGCTGTGCCTGAGTGCCCGGAGGTACATGTGCGGGAGGTGTTTGTGCTCTTCTATTGGTGAAGGCCAAGTTGAAGGGCTTGGTGCGGCAAAGCTTGCAGTCTGACTGAGGCCCGGGACCGCGCATAGCACTGAAGCAGTAGGTGATACGGCAGGCGGGTGCTGTTGACGCTGGGGAAGAGATGGGGAAGATTCCAGTGAGGTGGTGTTGTGAATCGTGAGGGGAGCCTCCTCCTCCCACGCGTTAGAAGGCAAGAACTGTCCAACAGCTAGCTGCGATGCCATGCGCAGTTACTGCCTCCTGGTAAAGAGGTGTCCGGTACAAAGGAGTTAATGCATTTTGTCCATTTTCTGAGAGTGGTTTTCTGTAACGCACACGGCTGCAAATACTGGTACCTGTTACAGCGCGAGGAGGCAGGAATGAGCATCGGAGGGGCAAGCGGGCGGGTGAAGGTTTTCTGTTAGTCGTTCACGGGACAGCAGACGTCAGTACTGAGGCAGAGGGACTGAAATCTCTCAGCACTACCTGAGATGGGAAGCAAAAATGGTGACTTTACACATTTAAATCACAGGAATGAACAGACAGTGGCTGTTTATGACTGCATTAAGAAGAGGAGCGAACATAACGTTGTGCCTGCTTTGTGTATGATGTCCTTTCCACATATCAGGCTTTTATTAGTGACTCACAAATGAGCCTTTTAAATCACTGTTGTCATATCATTCAATTAGAAATGACACTTGTATCCGGTAGGTGTGCTTAGTTCTGTGTCACAACCAGGGTACACTGCAAGCTTCACGGACGGCTCGGTATGTTCATTCCTTCTAATGATAGAATATAACTTCAGAATGGTATTTCATTCTTTGCATAAAAAAAGGGGGGGTTGGGGGGTGGGGGAATAGAGGATAACTTATATACGGAGTTTTATAACTGGAATGTAACCCATTCAAAACGGCATTTGAACTTCCCAGCTGAACGTAAAGGGAAGTTCAGATAAAGCCCACTCGGTACCAGGAAGTCCAGTTTGTTTTGTTTATAGATAGGTGTGAATGTATGCACTGTAGTTAACAAGGTTCATATGCAGCTCTATGAATAGACGTATACAACTATACCTATATATACGGGAGCCTTGCTACATCGTACACTGGCTAAAGAAAAAACTTTCACTTTATGGTTAAATGATGCGGTTCTTCATGCGCCATATGTACAAATTGGCTTTTCGTGAAAGCCCCGTCACGTCACAGAAAACCTAACCGCAATTCTTATCCCGCGGCCAAGCTGTCGAGCACCCCGTTTTGCATCGGTTAGGCGTCCCCAGGGCAGCGCATTTCATTCCCGCCATGTCTCTCTCTGTTAACATGGAGAATGTTACTGGATGGGTGGAGGGCGGGTGTGAAGAAGCCCAGGAAGAAAGGCCTGGCTAGTGCTGTACCGATTTAAAGCTTCCCATGTCCCCCAGTTCCCAGAGAACTCCCTGTGTCCCCCGAAAACCTTTTCACTGAGTAGATGGAAACATCCTGTTTCTTTGTTGGAGTCTTATACCTGAACTTCACCTGCGGGATCCTGTATTTGTCGTTGCCTACCAGGTTACATACAGTTTTAGGATTAGACAAGTTGTAATGACATAGGCTGCCATCAAAACTGTCTTCAGCCATTCTTGAGTAATGTAAAAAGAATTTCCTTACAGGTAATTGTACGTTTAATAGTCATCCCTCATCTTGGCTGTGTTGTTCCTCTGCCTCTTTGTTTCCTGCCCAGCTTCTGCAAAATGTGTCAAGAATGCTGGTTGTGAATGGGGATAATTTAACTGCGTGTATAATTTTGTGCCTTCAGCTTTGAATCTCTTGCTGAGCTCTGTATCTAAGTCTTTTCATCACGTTTTTCTTCCCTGGACACTTATGTGTTCAGGCTGGTATAAAAATGTCTGACTACAGCTGGCGTAGCTCCTCGTTGAGGCTGAAAGACTGGGCGAGCGTTTCTGTCAACGCGGTTGTTCCTAGCAGTCGCCGTATCGCTTTAGGTTGTTCCGAAACGCCATCGTCTTAAAGAACAAGTCGGTTCGGTAAGCTGCCTCGCTTGGAGTTTTACGAAGCCCTTACTCTGGGTCGTATTTACTCTTAGTCCCTTGGGAGAGTCAAGATCTTGGACTTGGCGGGAGAGGGCAGTATCTTGTGCAGAGCCGTCAAGCCATCTTTTAAATACGGAAATCCGTACTTTGCTGCAACACGATTTTTCCCTAGCTGTCCGAGGCTGTCAGAAGATATTAAACTTGGTCTGAAGTACCCTCTGAATCAGACTCTTGTTCACAATACAAAGTAAAAATACTGTACAACTAAGTTCATGCAACGTTCATACTTTAAATCCGGCGGGTAATATCAGAGGCTCTCGTATTTGATCTACGTGGTTCCTCTGAGTATTTCTGCCATTTTATTGCATTGCCCTATAGAGGGAGTATTATTTATGTGATATAATCCTCATTTGGTTCGAGTTTATTAAATGAAAGAAACGTGTTAGGCAGTAAGTTCTTAAGAGGTCTGGAATCTGGACTGTAATTGATTCCATTCACTCTCAGCTAATTTATGTAATCTGATGAGAAACAAGTGTAATACAATTTGTTCAAAGAAAATGGAGAATGTTCGCTCCATGGAACCATACCAGAAAGTTCTCTGAATGAAGAAGCACAGTGAAAGACCAAGTTTGGGCTTCCTTCTGTCCGATCGGCCACGTCTCTCAGTGGATGAGGATGCCGTGAACATCTTGTGGTAGAATTGTGCTATTTCAGTTTTGTGCGAGCTCCTGCCCTGGTTTTTCATTCTTTTTCTGTGGCAGCATGGTAGGTAGGCTATTTTTGATACTGTACTCGGGAGCGTTTTATCCTCGCGCTTGGCGCACGGTTGCAGTGTTTTCATTTCTTCTGACTAGTGCACACCTTCTTTGCTAAAACAGAGCCAGGTAAGGAGCCACCTACTGTAGAACACAGCGCCTAGATTTCCCCCAAACCAATGGTCTGAAATCACTTATCTCATCAGCCGTGAAACTCGTTTGGTTTTGGCCCTGGCACGTGTCAGTCTGAGCGTGGGAGGTCCGGCACTCGGCTTTGTGGCGATGCACCTCGTCTGCGACAGAAGTGCGTGGTGACACACGGGTGCTTTCGGACACGGCATGTTGTTCTTTGTTACTGGCAAGAACCGTCCCATCAGCTTCTGCCCTTCTCCTCATGGAGTTCGGCTGTGGTCTGGTTTGGCTGCGAGTGGGCGCAGCATTTGGCAGTCGTTCGTTAACTGAGGTTGGAACTCCCTCCCGTTTTATTCTCTGGTATATTCTAAGATACCATCTGTTAATCTGCAAAGAGCTGTAGGCCAGACCATGGCCAGCGATACGTTCCCAGGTGTGGGGCACCTTCTCCCTTCCCTGCTGCATGCCGAACCCTGCGGATTGGAGAGCAGTTTACAGAGGAGCGCTGTTCCTGCCCTGCTGACCCGGGCGAGGGCTGAGAGGGAAGAAGTCGCATTTTCACGCGTGGCAGCACGGGCAGTCCTGCTGTGCCAGGCAGAAGGTGTGCGGAGAACTTGTCCTCCCTCGAGGAGCAGGCGGTGGGAGCCAAACCCAACGCCAGCTGTGTCCCGGGAGCAGCGAGGCAGCGGTGACCCGCGTGCAGGGGTCGGGGTAATCCCAGAATCCAGCCCGAAGCCTCTGGAAACGGTTTCTCTCCAGACAGGGCTGCTCTGTAAATTAATTGATTACAGCAGCCAGAGGTAGGAGCAGGTCGCCTACAGCAGGCAGCGTGCGCCTGCACCTGATGATGCCTGTTGCTGTGGGTCTCCTCCCGGCTGTCAGAGAGCGGGATGTTGAATGGGTGTTAGAGGAAAACCACTCTGGTTTTTGGTGTTTTCTGGTTTTTGGTGTTTTCTGTTTCGTTGATTGGGGGGAGGGGGGGGTTGCAAGTGCAACAGGAGGTTGGCCTGGTGTTGCAGGATCCACACTTAGCCATTTTTCCAGTTGCCCCAGTGGTGTGTTTGCTTCAGTTGGCTCTGAAAGGGAAACCCTTTGGTATCTCACTCTTGGTGCACATCTGCGGACCCATCCGTTTGGCGTGTCGCTCTCCAGCCACCCCGGCTGATGCGAGAGAAGTCTGCTTCTCAGTAGTGTCGAATGCCTGAAAACCAGAAGTTCGTTAGCGTCTCTAACAATCGGGTGCTATGGATATAGACCACAAGTTAAGTCCAGCCTTTGTTTCGGGACACAGGTGAAGACATCCAGAGTTTGCTAAATGTGCAATCTCCAATCTTGGAGAGGATTAGACAGACTCCGCCCCCTAATTTCCAGGGATTACCATACTGCTAGTAATATTACAGCGTGAAAGAATTCAGGGTTGAGAAGAATATACCTCCCCTCAACATTCCAGTTTGGTAAGGACTTTGCTGTGACCGGCATTACATTGCATTGGATCTCTTAGAAAAGAGATATTGGTTTCGTACAGTTTGATTAGGGCAAT